TCTCTCTCTCTCTCTCACACACACACACACACACACACACACACACACACACACACACACACACACACACACACACACACACACACACACACACACACTGTTTCTCTCCCCGTGCTAGCTATAGTTCCTTAAAGCAAAGCAACACTATCTCAACCTATCAGGGCTGAAATACTGGATCCACAAGAGTACCATGACAAGGCTACAATCTTCAGCTGAATACTGTACGTATTCGGGACAACTGCCAGTCCAGATGCAGCTGTAATGAATGACAGGGCCTTCTATCCGGTTGAAGACGGTAGGCCCATTTGACCCATCCCCCCCTTTCATACTGATATTACGGTCCCCGGAATGCATCAGGGCCAGTGATGCTCTAAATTAAATACTGTCACATAGGTACATTATACATACTTCTACCGTAATGCCAAAATTTGTCTGAAACCCACAGATCATCCCAAAAGTTTTCTGGGCCCTGGGGATGTGTCATAGATTATCCTCAAAGACCTTAAACTTAAGGGCTCTCATTGACGAACTCCCTGCCCATTGAGATTGTGAATCACTTCTTCAAGCCTTAGGATTAGGGGATAAGACAAAACCTTTCCATTGCCTACCCTCTCTTCCCTCTCTGCGCATACACCCCTTCTTTTTTCTACCTTCGTCCCTGCCTTGCCTTGCCTTGCCTTGCCTTGCCTTGCCTTTGCACTTCTTCGACTCGGTGTCATCAGACTCATCACTCAGTCACGGTCTGCCTCTCAGTCATTTCTTACTTCTTCCGCCATTCTGAGCTCGGGGGGGCCGGAAGCGGTCGCATCAGACTGAACTGCCACTAGCGATTGCACAGTCACTTCCAACTTAGGAATACCTTCAGCTCTCCCTTCCAGTCTCCCCCCTTCGGGGGGGCATGGCGATTCTTGGCGCTGTTCTTTGTGCTCCATGATTCCATCATGCCGCTGCTCTTCGGTCACTACGAGCGGATCCCCTTGTTGTTCACTGTCCACGAGAGCCCTGAGCGAGTCTATGACCAATTTAAGCAGTCTAATCTGGACCAGATCAAAAAGTGCGGAGATAGATATAACTGCTGCTCCTTCAAGGGAGTGAATGCGATGACCATCGACTTCGGACCCCGTTGGTTGATCGACGGCCAAGATCGCCCCAGGCCCATTGGTGACGGACAGGTTCCGGATACCCACCAAAAGGTCCTGATTGATGTCCCCGACATGCAATGGATCTCCTCGTCTTCTTGTGCCCGTAGCACCCTCAGCTTCAGGCTGATGCCCAACATCATGTAACTGCACACATTGTCAGAGGAGGGGGAGGGGGAGGGGGGGGTACAAAAACAGAGGAAAAAAATATCAAACATTTGAAGCCAGTGACAGCAGAAGAGAGAAATGGGAGACTGCGGTTAAACCACCAGTACTTGGCCCAGCTATCGATGCCGAGCCGGGATACCCCCTGCGCGCCAAGTTTTGCCGAGCCGCAGGGGCACCATTTCGTTTTGATTATGGCTGGTGCTTCCAGCCATTGTGGTTTGGTGCCCCGAAGCGCGCCACTACGGGCGCGTTAACGGGAATCGCCCGCGGCCGATAGCTGGGCCAAGTACTGGTGGTTTAACAGGGACCCCCACTTCAGCCCTGGTTAAACCCCTCAACCCTGAAAAGTGCATTGGAGATCATTTTTTTTAGTTTTTTCTGTGGGGTAACTAGGGTGCAGTCACCTAAGCAGTTTGTAAATGCATTTCGAAGTTCGAACTGCCTTTTTTTTTGGAGTCCAGTACGGCCCCAAGTTTCAAATGCAGTCGAAACTCTTTTTTTTTTTTTTTTTTTCTTTTTTTTGCAGTCGAAACTCTTGACATGCAGAAAAGTCGCAAGGTGGAGTTTGCAATTGCAGTCCAGTCCGACCTGTGGCCTTGGGTTTTTTTTTGGTTTTTTTT